AATATATAATATATTGTAATATATATATATATATATTTATCATTTTTTAGCCTAAATTATTTAAAAAAAATTATTTATCAAATAAAATATATACAATAAATATATTTAAATATACGGATTTTTTAATATATAAATAACTATTTTCCTTGGTCTGCTCGGCCATTTAAACATACAAAATCTAATTTATTTATAAATATAATGGCTAGATTTAAATATACGAATTATTACGAATTGGTATTTCATATTACCTCCGGGGCCTCGCAGTCTGGCCCGCCCCCCACAACAAATTTAAATGTCGTTACCGTATATTTGTTTGGTTTTACACGATCCCCTAAAATATAGACCGTGCGGACCGCCACCAAATACAAGTTAAATTTCCCTCTATCTGTATATAAAAAATATATATAACGATCCATAGAATAATATATATATATACAATAATATATGTTATAATTAAAATTTTCAAATTTCATTCCAACAATCATGGCGGTTTACCCACCATTTCTGCCAATTCAGATATGTACTGAGCCTTAGGCGTGGCGATTGGATTCGGCCCCGTCCTTGATACACCTGCAGTCATAGCCTTGTTTCAGTGTGGTACTGAATGACCAAACCGTCTAATGCGATCTACCGGAAAATTGGGGGTTCATTTTGATACCTTTCTGGTGATAAATATGACAAGAGTATGATGCACCTGCAGCACTGAATGCATCTCAGCAACATCTTTTGCGTCGGCTTTTGTTGTGACCTGTCGCAGGCCAACGGGGAAACTCCATTGAAAAACAAACCGAAACAAACTCAAAGAATTTCAAGGCTACTGGACGTGTCGCACATCACAATCTTGGCTGAACCCGACGGACTTCCAAAGGCTCACTCCCTGCCTCGCGCTGGCTGCACACCAGCAAGCTGCAGCCCACAGCAAGCGATGCTATCAACCTGGGTGGGGAGCCATTGAAACCGGGGTTGCCCCTCAATTCATCTATGGCCAATAATTATTTAGCATTTTCTCAGGTAATTACTGTGTCTTCTCCCTGACTTGAGGTGTGAAATGGATCTCAGCACATCATGCCAGTCCCAAACCTGACTTAAATATACTTAAGTCATCTTAAGTCCATTTGGGCCCATTCGGAAATGATTCCTAGTAGACCCTCCTTCGTGGGCGGTCGGCCAGCGAAGTCGCGCTGGCCCAAGCAACGAGATCAACGCGACCGAGAGCAACTCCTCAGAAGAAGCAAAGTCCTCCAACGGCAAAGGATCATTATTAGGAGCGCTGGGGCGGCCTACAAATGGGATAAAAGGGGAATAAACCAAACATCATGGGGATGGAATGGTGATAGATTTTAATCAACAGTAGGAAATGAGTATATACTATATATTAGATAGTATGTCACCCAAAGCCAAGAGTCATTGTTGAGATAAAATTGCACTTTTCATTGGAGAAATTGATGACTAAACATGGATTTGAAGGGGCACTCCATGTTTGGAGACACCAAAATGGGTTACGAATGGCACCGCTAATGTCTGCCCTCTTTTTCAGGAGTGCAGTGTCTAACTTTGTGATTTAACTTTGTGGCTTTAATCTGCCAATTTAGTGGGTGCCATCCCATCAAGCACTAAACCAGGAACACTGTGGAGCATTGCCCCGGAATGACCTCGGTTTCTGGTTGCGGCGGCCAGAACTTTGACTTTGCACTGGTTGCTGTGCTGGGATCAGGCGCAGCCTCCAGGTGACTGACAGGACGTCAGCTGGAGCCGCTAACTCCAGTGGTCATACTGTTAACGATTCCGGGTGCCAGTTTTCAAGCTCATTGATCTTATACTGTGATCAGTGATCATTTCTTTGATACATAGAGTAATCGGTATATACCTATAACTTGCATCTGTACAAGAATACGAATACAGTGTATGATCATGTATCGCCCCTGACCTTTGTACACACCACCCGACGCTCCTACCGATTGAGTGATCCGGTGAATAATTCGGACTGACGGAGTAATGTGGCGAAGCCAATAATAAACCATCCCCGCATCCCCAATCCGTCAGTTTATCATTGGCTTTGTCAGATTCATTGAGATTCTCCAAGCAACCTGCACAGCGCTCGGCGGCGGCTGTGGCGGCTGTGGCGGCTCGTTAGCCGGAGAAGGCACCTGACCAGCTCGGGACAGCTGGGACTGGCAGTGATCTACGGAGCTAATTCCCACTTTTTACTCGGGAAAATATGGGGAATCATATATAATTACATTAGGATGTCATTTCATCTCTGCATGTCTGTACATACGGATATTTATGTGAAATCCTTCCAGAACCCGTTCGAATCCGTTTTACATCTGGCCATGAAAGGCAAAAGGTATGCCTTCCTTTGGGCAGGAGGGAGACACCCACGAAGTAGTAGGGACATATGCTGATTTCCATCTGGGGATTGCTGTAATATTCCGGTTGGTGCTGCATACAAAATCATACAAATCTTATAATCCCCAAATCACCATAAAAATGGGTCGTCTAAACCATTCCCAATTGGTTTACTATTGTTTACACACACATTGGTCGTATGATAATCCCTTCCAAGTGGCAACGGCAACGGTGGCAGCCTCCATAGCGCCGTCCTTTGGGAGCTATGGCCGTTGGCATTTGGTGACTATATGCTCGCACATAACATATGTATACAGTATACACATATCTATACCCTCTGGTAATTTAACGTAGCTATTGAAAATGGCCATTATTAGTGGGTAAATCCATGTAAATCCACTATAAATGGACATTTCCAATAGCTACGTTAAATTACCAGAGGGTATAGATATGTGTATACTGTATACGTATAATTACCGTATAATATTTAATTATTTAAGCATCTGTGGCAGGCGTGCGTGCATCATTATCTCAATGAGTTTTAGCATATTTCTACATATCAATCAATGTAGCAAATATCAACATCTATCAATTGCTGGTTGGTCGTTCCAACACCCTTGAAGAATAGAAATATCATCGTTGACCATGACCCCATTTTCAGGATAAAGAAACCATCTTTGAAACCACCAACCAAACATATCTGAGCAACTCTCCATTTCCTGAGGTAAATCCGGATTTTGTGTGCCGAAAGATACTGAAATGGCCAAGCTTGTCGTATTCAATTGGGTTTTTCTGAAAACAGGGTATCCCTATGGCTACTATGGTTAATCATGGATTAATCATCATTTTCCCATCATTTTCCCTATTGAATGGCCATGAATAATGGATACACCCCACAGATTTTTCACCCACCTGTGGCGTCACCGCATGCGCGGCCTCCCGAGAGGTGGTGAACCATATAGATGTCCTATCAAATGGGAAATTATACCAAGAAATTGTACATGAAAATTGTGATACCATTTTTTTTTGGGGCTCATCATAGCTCCAAGTCATCGGCGATCTTGACATATCTCAACCTCGCAGAAAAGAAAACGCACGTCTGGACTACGGCACCTTGATCTGGATAGGGCCACCCACCACCTTGGTCGCTGGAATTGCTTCCTGTCCAGTACTTGCTTGACTAAAGACCAAAGAGACCCAACAAATACTGGTTGCACAGTACCATTGGAATCCATTGGAATCTGTAGTGTGCAAAGAGTAAATATTCAAACTCTGTCGACCTTTACTCGTCACTCGCCTTCTGCGACCTGACTGCATAATGTGGTAAATCCCATAATCGACCACTCCATTAACCAACCATTTGGCGGGTCATTCTACAGCATCTCAAATAGGATAAATAGATATAAATAGGGGTATTACATGGTATTACCCGATCAGAAAGCCTCTATTCTCTCTCCATAAAACTCTATTGGCTTGTGATTTTATCATTGGATTTACCATCTTAGTCCCTCCTTTGCCAAAGCCTAGGCACGAAGAGTTTGGTGCGTCTGGTCTGGATCATCATTGGACCGTCGCTGGCCTCAAGGGGATCACAGGACAGCAATTGGGGCTCCATGTTTAAACGATATGCCGATGAATATGAATAGATTGATACACATTGATGTTGATATATGCGTTATATATATATATATGTGTGTGTGTGTTGATGTGGGTCTGATATATATATATATATATACATAATATAAATTATGCATATGTATATGTACAATTTATAGATAATGTCAGCCCTGGATTAATAAACCCCTAGGCTGTTTAATTGGGGGGGTACCATTTAAGTATTAGATTATGACTATTGGAGGAGTACCCCCTAATTAATAAACAATGGTTTATTAATCCGGGGTTGACATTATATGAATATTGATAGTATTAAAACATATTAAAACCCTGATTTGTTTTGCACATCATGTTTCCCCGCTTTTGTTTTTCGCGAACCTTCACGTCGTAGCGGCTGTCCAAGCGAATGCGAGCTGCGTGGGAGCGCGGCTTGATCTGTGGATCGGGCCGCTGTTGCTTTGCCCACTGGGCATCGAATTCAGCTGCAACGAGCAAGCACACCTGCAGGGTGGTGCCCCATAGTTAGCTAAGTTGGTTTATAAGTCCAATAACTATGGTTTACACAGGTGATATATCTATAGTTAGTGGGTTTGTAACCCATTTATAACTGGGGGGACACCACCTTGTGCAAGAAGATGCTACAAGCCGCGGCACCCAAGATATTTGGCATTATTTGGCCAACAAAAGAGGTGTCTCTACCAGCAAAATCAGATTCAACCAACATGGCGATGTGATTCATGATAGGTAAGCTTTATTTTTTCACCAGGCCAATGATTCGGTTTATATCATATACATATATATACCATATATATAAATCAGATATATCATATATAATGGATATATCTATAGTTAGATGGAGTAACATAAATCGAGAAACAAGAGAGGGGGCCCTGGGTGTGATCCGCTTTGGATGGGCCATCCTCCAGGCACAAACGTCCATGCAGATGTTCCGATATTTTCTGTATCATGTTATGTCTGTCCCACAATTTACCATATATCATCAATTTACCATACATATACTGTATAATATATATAATATATAATATAATATAAAAGAAATATATATATTTATATCGAATATCATCCAGTTAACCCCTCCAGTTAATCATCCAATATCCACTGAGCCAAACCTTGGGCTTTCAAACGTTCCAAGCCTCGCCGGTTGAGGGTCCCAGCTGTCCTTGCAGTGTGGGAGATGCCCCAGGCGCAGCCCAAAGCGACAAGCCACGGCAAGCACTGGAGCTGGATGCAATGGTGCTCGACCTGCAATGAAATGATTTTCATGGGAAATTCATGGGAAATTCATGTTTTTTACGGACGTGAAACAAGGAAGAAAACCGAAGAAACTTTCATATTTAGGGGCTAAAACTCTATGGGTTCCTGGTGGATTTTCCCAACACAACCTATCCAGTGAGAAAATCTATGGAAAATCAAGGCGCTTGCTATATAAGTTTTTGCCCACAGATCTAAGGGGCGTCCTCCGATCTGCTTCAACCTATTCTGGGACACAGAAGGGCTTTCCGATGAAGACGTTTGGGCGTGAGTTTCTCTCAACATTCTTGCAAGGTGCTGCGCCATACTTAGCTGAGTTGCTTTAGAACTAGTGTAATTAAGTAGGGTTCTGGAAAGTAATTGTGACTATAGTTGCAGCCATGGGGTACCAACTTAGAGTATCACTGGGGACCCCACCTTGTACCTAATCTAGACAAATGGAATCCATCATTTTTTTCCCTGGATCTTTCCCTTGATTGGATCTGCAGGTCACAATTAGTCACTGTCTCCTGCTGAGCGGCTGAAGGATCTGCTCAAACTGCTCATTGGGCAGGGTCGCACCATCCTCACTGATGGAACATCCAGGCAGTAGGCTGCTGCTGACAGCAATGAGCCTGCCAGGTGAGTGTTTGGTCAGTGAACAGTGAACTTCTCCATAAATACAGTAGAATACGGTCACTATCCAGCATCATTCACGGTTGTGATAACATGTGACAACCCTAAGCAGCGGCAAGCGTGGATTTTCGCAGGTGAAGGATATCCCGAGCAAACGAACCAACCCCCCGTTGAATCATCCCATCCACCACTGAATGGCCCACCTGACGTTCATCGTATGACATCCAAAACCGTAGACTTGGATACTGACGGCGGATCCAATGCCTGGAAGGGCTGATGCGTTGAAAAGTCGGAGATACATCCTGTCTGAGCCGTGTCAACAAAAATGGCACGATGACGATAACTATGATGGATAACTCATGATAACTCATATAATTCCCCACAATTCTAGATACTGCAACAATTAGAATTAGACTTGCATGTTCTTCTGGGAGGTCAGTTGCTTGAAGACTTGCTTGAAGCAAACGCTCTCCCCGAGCACAATGCATTTTCCGGCGCAGCGTGCTGCAACTGCCATCCGAGCCTATGCTTGTAGGAAGAGACGGTGGTACAACCACCACTTCTGGTCTCGCCAGCTCAATCACCTTCAAACCTGCTAGCTGCTGGTAATCATAAATGGATGATAGAAATGATTGAATAGGAAAATCATTGATTTACGGGGAAAGTTCCTTTGCTATGTTTAATTCCCGGAAGGTAGCTTTGAGGCAAAGACTTACGGGGAATGCTTCCAAACATGTCCACAGCAAACTCCTAAAGATCTCTAAAGTTAAAGTACAGCAGCCATGCTATAGATCTGACCCAACGTGAAAAGCACATGTGAAGCTGATCTGAACACACTCCAGTGACTTATTTACCTGGTGTTCTTGGCAATTTGACACAATTTGACAGGGTCTATAAAGGACCTTTCATATTCTGCAGGCAGGAGACACATTCGCATGTTCCGAGGTACATGTCCTTGTGTGGTACCCTTGCTCCAAATCTCGAGGCGGTGACCAAGTGAGTTGTCAGGAGCCGTTTTGAAATCATCCATTTCCTTGGGACAACTCTCTCAAGACCTGAGCTTCCACGGCAAGAAAATCTCGCCAAGCTGCAGCCAAGTAGACCAGTGTGCTAATGCTGTCCCGGCGATACTTTGTCCGATCCTGCAGCATTCGAAGATTCAGGCTGTGAAACCGTGAAACCTCTGTGAATCACTCAAGGTGCATAGCTGGGTTATTCCATGATACAAAAAAAAAACAGATATGCCTGGGGTCCCATATGCCATTAAAGAAAACACCACAAGACTCAATTGACTCAATCTGACCATAAACCTGACCTCAATCTTGCATCATCTGACCACTTCCTATCAACGTCGGTCCTCAGCATAACCCCCATAGGTCGTTGGCCGACAAACACTGATGGGTTCAGGCGATTGCTCCCATCCAGCTGCATAGGACCAATCCTCCATGCCGCCGTCCACAGGATAGACCTGCGAAAGGGGCAACAGAAATGCTGGAGAAGCGAAACTCATGTGCAAATGCGTAAGCACTCTCAAACAAATTGTGTAAGAATCCAAAAATCCAACTGTAACTAAACCCAAAAACTCTGATATCGTCTGCAAAGCTGTATGGCTTTCTGGGACGCCAAAACTCAACAGAAACATGAAAAGCCGCGCGCACAGATCAGTTTGAATCGGTTGCATTCAGAACGACATGCCATAAGTTTTCACCAGCGACTATGCAACACTAAGGCCACGTAGACAATTCAACTGCAAGTTCCTTCCATTGTGTCTCCATACTTCTTGCATTTGATTGGTGTAGAATCACAAGATTCGGATTATAAGGTACTCCTCTCTACGTGCAATCTTGAGCCGCCATTATGTTCTTCAATCATTATCATCTCATCGATCTGATATTAGCAGGATCGAAACCGCAGCATGTCACAGCGCTAACGGCTGCATAGTGGGCAGCATCCGTTCTGATATGTCAGACGATAGACAAGCATAGTCCAAAAACGAGCTGTGATATTAATGTGTATATATATATACAGTACATATTAACTGCTAGAGTGGCATAGCTATTATTGTCATGATCTAACATGATCTAACTATTAGTATCTTATAATATCTTATAATTATATAGTATTGAATCATATGAATTTCCCATCATACGACCACTCTTTGCTGCAAGGTACCAGATCATTGATGGGCCCCAAGGGATAGAACCATCGTTGCGTCAAGGTTTTGCCCGCTGCAGCTTGGATGGCTTCCCCAACCTGAATGATCCGCAGCCGGGCATGGAAGCTTTGATGTTTGGGGAGTTGAAAACAAACATCAAACGTCATCAATCATCAAATCTCAATATTTTTCTTTGGGCACATCCACATTTTAAGGCTTTAAGGACAACTTTGGAGGCTATTCTCAGCATACATGATTAAGCTGTTTGTTTGGCAGCAAAGATCTCAATGCCTCACGAAATGCGGCGTTGTCTGGAGACTCCGTGGACCGTCTGTTCTTCATGTGGTTCCTGCCATCCAAAGAAAGCAGCGGTCATGCCCTTCGGTTGGCGTTCGGGATTGCCATGATAGATCGATGTAGGCCATAAGTGGCCACAAAATGCCATGAGTCATGATCATCCTCGCAAAAAACATATGAAACATACACCAGCTAATCCAGCTATATACTTTGTGGTAAAACAATACAAACACCAGAAATCCTCAACCAATAGGTTCTTGTTTGCCAGGCCGCAAGTTTGGGCTCGGCAGTCCTGGATCCCCATTCGTAGGTCAAGGCTCTCATTCCACCATGAAAGGTGATCATGAACCTGGGAGCAATCCCTCCAACTGAAATGGCAACCATTCTGACATTTCTGATCATTTCTCTTCATCGCGGTCAACACGGTGAGTTCAGGGTATGGAAATTACTAGCTTCCCAAGGACGATGTTTTTTCGAAACGGTATGAGAATGATGGGGTTTCTATGCATTCTATGCTAATTCATTCACAGACAGGGTAAAGTGTTGAAAGCTAAAACTTTCCGCAGCCGAAGTCGCTGAAAGAGATGTCGTCGAAACAGCTCCTTGGTTTCAGGCAATCAACATGAAGCGAACTAACACCTGATGGAGAATGACAATACAAGTAAGTACCCTGTATCAATATCTATCAAGTCACCAAGCTCTGATCCTCTTTTCAACTACTGTACTGAAAATAGTGTACTGATGTTATTACTCTGGTTACATGTTATTGCTATTGTAGTTAGTATATGTTATTATCAATTACATATTGGTTACTATTGTTGACCAAGTGTCGTTGACGGCACGGGCTGTTTGAGTCCTCATGCATTTTTCCGGCCGTTGCAGATACGGAAAGTCCCGGTTGGGGTCCATGGAGTTCTCCTCACGCCGGCGCAGCGCATAGCCGTGTGCGTTGGTCATAGGCATGATCCACCTGGCGGACCCGGAGAGTCCGGCCAAATAGAAGATATGGTTTGACACAAAGATGTATACATTGTATACACAAACATGTGTGATGCTTATTATGTTATGATTTATGATATGCTTATCATTACCCAATTTATGATGCCTTAACCAGTTTGGTGGATATTTGATCCTGGGGTTCATGAGTGGGCTGACCAGCTCATAGTTTCTTGCCATGGCGCGTAGCGCGGAGGTCCACCAAGCGACGCACCTGAAGAATTGTTTCTCTCTGTTTGTTGCTTCAGGCGGTTTCGTCCGGTACAATCTATATGAGCCGTTGTCAAAACTCATTGTCTTCGCTAAGTTCCCGAAAAATTGGTATCGCTATCGCTTTTCATGGGGGGCCCTATCGCCATCCATGATTCTGTAAAAAAAGATGAAAGGAAGAGGAACAGAAAAGGAAAAGAAAAGGACATGAAGAGTAAAAGGAACGGAAAAGGAAGAGGAAGAGAAAAGGAATGGAAAAGGAAAGGAAGAGGAAGGGAAAAGGAATGGAAGAGGAAAGGAAAAGGAACGGAAGAGGAAAGGAAGAGGAAAGAAAGAGGAAAGAAAGAGTAAGGAACAGGAAGCAGCGTCTCTCATTCCAGAAATCAAAGGAAGAGGAACGGAAAAGGAAAGGAAAAAGAAAGGAAAAGGAAAAGGACAAGGAAAAGGCAAAGGAAAGGGCAAAAAAGGAAAGGACAAAAAAAGGAAAAGGAGTAAAGGGTCTCTTTGTGGTCTGGGGCTACTTTTTGAACAAATGGGTATCGCTAAGGTATCGCTAAGGGTATCGCAAATTTCGCCTCTTGCATGTATGCAACTTTGTACAAAACAACTTCAGATGTGGACATTTGCATAATTATAGGTATCGCTTTTGGGGGGGCCCTGTCGCTACACAGTGTTTGGTGCACTTTCTAGATACAGTAGAACCTTCCTTTACATAAGTAGTATACCAAAGCTTTGACCGTACCTCATATGATATTTCATAAGATGTTAATGATGATATTTCCACAACTTTTCACACATCTTCCATGTTTCATGTCTGTGTTGATCCGCTGAATCTGCTTCATGGCAGGTCTCCTCCTGATCGCCGTAGTATTCTTCGCACAAGAAGGCCGCGAGTTCGGTAACTGTGAGGGGGCCCACCCTTGCAAACCGCTGCACAGAAACGCACCAATTTTCGACGGGATATGTGGGAAGGAAAAACGATTACACTTTAACCATCAAAGGGGTTCCCCCATACATCCATTACATATTTTGTAGTGTGTGGTAGTATTCCAAGAAAAATAAAATCTCTTTTGGTTGACCTTGTTTTCTATCCAACCCTGCCACACCGTCACCTTTTCGGATACCGTGTCAAGAATCCGTAGCATGTTTTTTTTGGGGAGATGCATCGTTCTGCACCTAAGCATGGATCCTGAGCACAACCGGTATACCGCCAAAACCTAAACGCGTGCAGGTGCTCGCGTAATCATACATATCACAAGCGAAGAAAGGATAATCACGCACATTATATATATATATATATATACTGCCGGCAGATGACTTAGGCCCAAGAGGGCCCAATGACATAAGAAGAACTATATGAAAGTGGCCTAAGTCATGTAGTCTTTACAACACGCAGTTCACCGAACACCCGGAAGACACCTGAAAAAAAACGCGAGAGATAGGAACAAGATACCTTCAAGAGACTGGGAAAACATGTGTGCACCACCCCCTTTCCAAGATATCAAAACATGATGACTTAGGCCACCCCTTAATTTTTAATCCGCTAAAGCTGCCTAAGTCATCCAGCTCCACCCTCAGTGGCTAATATATATATATATATGTGTGTGTGTTCTTAACCCCAAACTCTCAACAGGTGAAACCCTGATAACTTAGGACTGCACGTTCTCAGTCTTGGCCATTTCTCAGTCTCGGCCAATTAAATGGTTAATTTTTTTTTAGTTTTTATGTCAATGGAGTCTCTTGTTCCTAAGTCATCTGCCAGTCGTATTTTTATTAAATATATATATATATATACATACATATGTGTTTCCCCAAACTCTCAACCGGTGAAACCCTGATAACTTAGGACTGCACGTTCTCAGTCTTGGCCATTTCTCAGTCTCGGCCAATTGAATGGTTTAAAAAAACTAGTTTTTATGTCAATGGAGTCTCTTGTTCCTAAGTCATCTGCCAGTCGTATTTTTATTAAATATATATATATATACATACATATGTGTTTCCCCAAACTCTCAACAGGTGAAACCCTGATAACTTAGGACTGCACGTTCTCAGTCTTGGCCATTTCTCAGTCTCGGCCAATTCAATGGTTAAAAAAAATCTAGTTTTTATGTCAATGGACTCTCTTGTTCCTAAGTCATCTGCCAGTAGTATTTTTATTAAATATATATGTATATATAAATACATATTTGTTTCCCCAAACTCTCAACAGGTGAAACCCTGATAACTTAGGACTGCACGTTCTCAGTCTTGGCCATTTCTCAGTCTCGGCCAATTGAATGGTTAAAAAAAAAAATCTAGTTCTTATGTCATCGGAGTCTCTTGTTCCTAAGTCATCTGCCAGTAATATTTTTATTGAATATATATATATATATATTATATATATTAAATATTATATATATATTATATATATATTATATATTTTTTATTATATATATATATATTTGTTTCCCCAAACTCTCAACAGGTGAAACCCTGATAACTTAGGACTGCACGTTCTCAGTCTTGGCCATTTCTCAGTCTCGGCCAATTAAATGGTTAAAAAAATCTAGTTTTTATGTCAATGGAGTCTCTTGTTCCTAAGTCATTTGCCAGTAGTATTTTTATTAAATATATATATATATACATATTTGTTTCCCCAAGCTCTCAACAGGTGAAACCCTGATAACTTAGGACTGCACGTTCTCAGTCTTGGCCATTTCTCAGTCTCGGCCAATTAA